GTGTTAACAAACTATAGAGATACTGACCTTTGAGTTGTGGGTTCACTCTTTGTTACCTTCTGCACTTTCAACTCAGACTGTCTCATTGATAATATTGATTTGGCTGTCTTGGCTTTGCTAATATAACTTCGATACTTCTATGCAGTACACTATGGCTTTGTTATACGCTGACAATTACACTTAAAAGGTGGCATTCATCCATTATTTGATAGTTATCTGTAGCATCTTTTCCTTCTAAAGTATGTAAGAAACAGGCCTTAGGATGTTTTATTATGACCAATTCTAGTGTGATAAAGTAGAAGAAAAGTAAAGCAATAGATTGACAGAACAAGTGAGCTAGAATTCTAGATGGGGACGCATTAACGTGAAACTCAGGTAATGTTCATAAAATATTCCTGCAGCCACTGTTTTTACTTTGTCTCATAAAAGCCATATAAGAATTTTTGAGATCGGTGTAGCTATTCGATTTTAGAATACGGAGACTGAGGATGAGACATTTTAAGCGTTTTGTCCCCATAATGGGAATAAAGTCTTGACTCAGATTTTCCAAGGCAAATATTCTTTCTATTGTAGCATGTTTTCACCTGTTGTTAAAGGAGTTGGACATTAATAACATCATCTTGAAAATTCTAATACAGCATTTCTAATTAAAATACTCAAGTATATGAGATGCTTTTTAAAATAATTAAATTATCTCATTTTAATAATAATCAAGCATTTTATATAACTATATATATATATAGTTATATATATATATAGTTATATATATATATATATATAGTTATATATATTTGTTTTCAGTCAGGCTCTAAGAAACAACTCATTTTAAATAAGGGAGAGAAAGGAAGGAAGAAAGAAGGAAGGAATGGAGGAAGGAGAAAAAGGAGTGAGGGAGGGAGGGAAGAAGAATTCTCCCATTAGCATATCAAAGTAAAGACTTCTCTTAGTGTAGAAAATGCCCAATTTGGAAGATTCTACGGTTTTGTAAGTAAAGAGAAGTACCATTATTCAGAACATGTGAGAGGGAAATATTTTATAAAAATCCCTTGACACCCCCCGCCATCCCAAATTTAAATGTATGCTTAGAAACAAACATTTAACAGACTTACACTTATTGGAAACTATTAATCATCCTGATCCATTAATAAGAATCATAAAAAAGAAAGTGTCCAATCTTGATGCAACTCACATGGAATTTGTGAATAAGACAAAATTAATCAGTACAATAGAAGGAGAGAAACCCAGGCAAAACTGAACCTGTTCTTTCTGGGGCCACCACATTCAATTCTAGGTGTTTCCAGGGTGTCTATTTTACAGGGATTTAGCACTGATGAGATTAAGATTCTACCTGAATCTGTGGGGACTAGTTTAGAAACCACAGGGAGGATTTTCAATTGCTAATGGAAAGAGGTCTTTGGACTTTGCTTTTCACCCCAGAGGTTTTTAAACATTCCTCTAATTTGAAAAACTGGGATTTTACCCTAAAAGCCAACTGTTTCTAATGGGCACAGAGCACAGGTCTCAATGGTGTATCTTGAACAGCTAACAATCCTGATAAATTAGATCTGCCACTTTCTAGTCCTGACAAGTTTAGGAAGCATTTAACCACTTTAGACTTCAGGTCTGTAATTTTAGCATCATTCATTCATTCATTCATTCATTATTTACTCAGTATCTATTGTGTCCCAAGCACTGTGGGTGCAGCAATTAAAAAAAAAAAGTGTATTTGCCTACATGAAGCTATAATACAGTGAAGGAGAAAGACTTATGGGTATGTACTAAAATATTAGATAGAAGAGCATTAAAAAAAAGGAGAGAAAGAAAATCACAAGTGAGGTTCATGCAATTTACATACCCTTTCAGAGAGCTCCCTGAGCAGGTGACATTGAGAATGCAGTAGGGGTGTGCAGGGTGTGGTCACAGAAACAGCAGGAAAGCCAATATGGCTGAAGCACAATGAACAAAGAAAGTATTTAGAGAAAACTATTTTCCAAGTGTAGCCAGGGGCTAGGTCACGCAGAGGTCAGGCTAAAGAGTCACCAAAGGCTGAGGAAGACGCTAGGCTATGTGATTCAAACGTGCACCGTTATTTCTGTGACCCTTTAGCAGTATGTAAATAGCCAGTGTTAATCGCCTTGCATTTATTCAGTGCTTTTTGAGTGCACACATGCTCCTTGAATTTGGTACTGGGCTAAAAGAAAACCTGAAATCACAAGAAAGCAGCACTCCTAATAGGTATGACTACTACACACTGAAATAAACAAACAAAAACCCAAGCCCTTTAATCCATTAACTTCATTTCCTAGAGACTACAATGGCAGTGGACAATACTTGAAAGCAAAGAATTAAAATAAAGGTTTATGGAGCTGTCACTAATTGTGTTCCATTTAATGATCAATTCTCATGTTTCTTAATACCAGGGGAGCATCCTATCTACACCACCACAGAGACATTTTCTATGATATATATCCCACCTGGCCCCATTTCCCTTACCTTACCTCATGTCTTGAAAGTTTGAAGTATCAGAGACAAACATGAGTGGAGTTGGATGTGAATATTCATGTGACTTGAACTACTGAGCTAGAATGTGTTTCTGGCCAAAAGCAGATAGGTAACCCTGTCTACACTTCACTGCCAGGGCTCTGAGCTCACTCCTTTTTAACAAATTGTGAAATGAACATTGGCAACCTGAAATGTAAGGAAGAGAAACTATCGCAACACACAATAGATTTGAAACCCCCTGCTGAATGAGAGCTTTTGTTAAAAATTGAGGATGCTTGGTATAGAATAGAGAGGGCTGGACAGTAACACTTCCACACAGAAGAGCTTCCATGAAAAACAAAAACAACAAACAAACCGCCCCCACAATCCAGACTGGGATGGGCATCCCATGAGTAATGGATTCAACATCACTGGATATATTAAAGGTAAGGAGTGACGGTTACATGAAGAGAAATTAGGAAGGGCCATCGTTCAAAGACGGGACTCACAGATGAGTCAACACAGGTTTCTCGTATTCGGCGAAAACTCAATGTCATATACATAAGAAAGAATCTCAACATTATTTTAATCCCATTTTCCCTATGACATTTCTGCAAACAGGAAGAAATCCATATGAAAGAAATACAGACATTTCTTGCCTCTGAGATAGATGCATAAGGAGATACAAAGGTGAATTATAGACTTCTTTTCCCCTCCCTTTGCATCTGAGTCTATTTAATACCCGCTATTTAGTCACGTGGTAGCAGGAAAATATTAGCATACAATGAAAACAATCCCTCTTATTTCATTATGCAAAATCCATATATCACCACTGTTTCAAAAAGCAATTTAAGCATTTGAAAATCACATTGTTGCACAGTTGTAGTCATAATATGTATATCTCTCCCTTCTTTTTTTTGTATTTGCATTTTCTCTGTTTATGCAAGTAGTTAATAAACATTATTTGAAGCATTGCAAAATATTCCAAATACTTTCTACTATTCTATAATTTACGGATCCTATCTCCTATTTTGATTTTTTTTCACCATTATAAATAACATGATAAAAATATTGGGTATAAAATGTTTTCCTTCATGTTGTGGCTGGGCCCTTATGATGGTTTTCCAGAAACTGAGTTCTTGGCTTAAGTCACATAAATATTTTAACAGATTTTTAATCTATGAATAGTAGCTTTCAAATGACTAATACCCCTTTTCAACTATTTTAAAGAGATTTTAATAAATTGTAATACAAACTTTCTGAAGACTGTAATTAGTATCTCTGTCAGCCTGTGCATGATACATTTAGCTCAGTTTTAATATTAAAACACTGAATAAATTTCCTTCGAATGTTATGTGGCGTTAATTCCCATCACCCCGCACACTTAGAGAGGGCTTATTCTATGCCTGTCTCTTTACCTGACGTACCTCACTCGATTTTCAGAAGAATCCTAAATGAGGCCTTATTATTTTCTCTGTTTTGCAGATGAGGAAACTTGAGTTCAGAGAGATGACATTTCTTGTCAGATAACAGAACGGTAGGGAATAGAATCTATGCTGCCAGGCTTCAGGGCTGACGGCATTTTAAAACTGAGCTTTTCTGTTTATTTATATATTCCAGTAAGTTTTAAAAATTGGATTCTGTCTTTTTTTAACTTGTCTGTTCTCTGTAAAGTGGACTGTGTCCAGTGGTACCCTACTTGTAAACTGGCTCCCCAATAACAACGACAACAAGTAGGGCTGAGCTGGAATGTTTGCTGATGTCTGTTTTGTACATACTTCCACGATGGCCAGTTTCAAGCTGTCTACATGATGTTATGGAACGCGCGGAGATGCAGACAATTGGCTCTCCTAAGCTGGTAGAGCCAGCCCCTGCACACCACTGGCTGGGCCAGTTATCAGTATAAGCTCTCAGCTCCCACTCAGTTATACTAGAACTGGACTCTGTAAGCATTTCTCCCCCTCTACCTGGCTCTGTGTTAGGCTTTGTGGATACAGGGCACTGGAGAGGTATTAGAAGGCCCGAACGGGAGAACCAAGTTTTCTTCTGACTCCAACATGCTTTCTTTCAGCAAACAGATTGATAAGAAAAGGTAAGCAGTCAGAATGTAAGGTTCTCAGCCACATGATGAGTGATTCCAACAAACCAGCTCTGGCACCTCCCCTTTGGGGCATTGCATTGTCACTGGCAGTCTGTGTGTGTGGCCGCCACCTTCTCTTCAACAAGAATGACATCGCAGCCTTAGCTGGCGGTGGGAGGAGCTATCTCCTAAATTCTTAGTTCTGCCTTCATTCACTTTCCCTCAGCCTAGACATACTCGTATTGGCTGCTTTCTGGTTTTGTTATTTCTGGACCCATTAAAGCTGTTTTTAACCTCTTTTAGTGGTTCACCATGTACTAAATTCATCACACCATCATGCTGTTTGAATTACTGGTGTGGTTTCTATCTTTTCTGATCACTGACTCATGCACAAACTTAAAAAAATAAACAAGCAAAGAGTAGGATGCAAATCTCTTACCTTTCACCAAAAAGTCCCCAGCAGCACACCCAAGGCCTGCACCAAGCCCTTCTCGATACTCTGCAGTACCCTCCAAGGGATGAAGAATTTAACCTGAAATGAAAATAGCAATAATTATAACAAGAATGGTAAAAACCTGCAGTTAGTGTTTATTATACTTAAGGGACATGCCAAAATCTTTTATAGGAAATAAAGCATGCTCAAATTTCTCCTTTGAGGAGGGTAGTCATTTCAAAAATAAGGAAACATCCTTTTCTTTTAAAGGGCCAAGGGCAACACAGCTATAAGGAAGCTGAGTCAGGAACTTAGACAAGTGGCTCTGAAGCCTGTTCTCTTCACAACTGTACTGTGTTTTTAAAAGGTGTCTTCCACTATAACTATAAAGGTATTAGTTTTGAGGCGATATCTGCTAGAAAAAGAAGGCCATCAAACGATGGATTCTATTTCATTATAATGTGTTCATAAATTATTTTATTCTCTTATTGTAGAAGCTAAAGAATCTTCTGGAATTCAGGAGAAATGCCCATAGTTTCTGAGTCACTTGATCCACTTGAAAAAATGTCTTGGAAACCAGAAAACTTGCTTCGTTTGGTGAGTACTTGGAATTTTCCCAGCTAATGCTGAGAATAAAAGAGCTGCCAAATTCATTAATTACCCTTAATATTCAATTCTCAAGTATAATGAATTCCATTTTCACACATATCTGAGAAAATTACATTGGAAAGTTAATATATTGCCTTTTGCTGGGTTTCAGTGAACATCGCAATGTGAAAGCAGAATTCAGTCTGAACTCATTGGCAGACTCACATTTATCTTCCTGGCACTTGGATTAAATGTCACTCATGCCCACCACCCACCATGTCAATACAATAACTTAAAGATGTGACTCCCAGGGCACAATGCGTCTCCAGCAGGGTCCTGTTTTTACACCACAGCAGTACCAGGCGTGCTCCTGAGCTAAGCCATTTACTGCACCACATGCCCCATTCCTCCTCCTCCTTAAGCAGGGGCATGTGGCTTCTTATGGTAAGTGGGCTGTGGGCAGAAGCGATGCCGATTTTCAGGGTAAAGCACTGAAGAGCCATCAGTCTTTTTCCCTGCTGTGGGAGCCAAGGATGTGCTGATGGTGTAGCTATAACCTTGACACTGGATATTTTGGACCAGGTAGTTCTAAGTGTGGAGGTGGGACAGGCATAGGGTCTGTCCTGTGCATTGTAGGATATTTAATAGCATCTCTGGTCTCTATCCGCTAGCTTCTAGTATCATTCTTTCCAGTTATGACAATGAACAATATATTCTGACACTGTCAAATATGCTCCGGGGGTGGGGTGGGGGAGGTGCTGCCCCATTTGAGATCCACTGAGCTGTAAGACAGTGGACCCTCCATCAGCCTCGTTCTTAGAGAAATTAAATATATCTGAGTACCTCGATCATCTATACTGTGCAACACACATGAAATAAAACACATACACACACACACACTTACACACACACAAATCCATTTTTAAAATAAAAAATAATAAAACAACTTTTATGTTATGCTAATGAGATTTGGTTGTTTGTTACTGCTGTAGAGGCTCTCCCGATTAATACTCCGTATGTGCTTTTCCCAGGCAAACACGTATGTCTATGGCTTCCAGTATTCTATGATGATTGGCATTTTATATTTTATGTCCAATTTCTTCTCTAACATACTTGAACTTTATCTATCTGCCATCTTGAACCACCCATTATCCAATTTTTCTTGTGTGATGTAAGAAATTTGGAAAACTAGGAGGCACTCTAGTCATCTCCCTTTGCCTCATTTAGCGATGATCCCATGGATTTTATTTCATAAATATCTCAAACTCCCACTCTCTTCTCTGCACTTCCTACTATTACTCTAAAACAAGGTAACATTATATCTGGCCTGGATTTGTAGAACAGCATTGTAACTCCCAGAGTGCACTCCTGTATCATGTCATCTGTTTTTCACAGAGAGGGTAGACTAATCCTTTAAAAATACAAAACTATTTACACCATTCCTCTGAATATAACCCTTTAAAAAATTTTTTTAATTCATTTTTTTCAGGCTAAAGACCAAAATCTTTAACATGACCTAATATCTGTGCAGGGCTTATCCTCTGAGTTCTAGTTCTCATCATTTTTCTCTAGATATGTGATATTTTCACATATCAAAACCTGCCATGTATTTTGTCACTTTAGGTCCTTGTGCAGGTCATTTATACCATCCGGAATACCCTCATCCCAACACATTTTGCATCCCCCAAGTCTCAGCCCACAGGCATTTATTTCTTCAGGAAGGTCTCTGAAATTCTCAAGCCTTCAGACCACGCCATGACTTCTCTAAACACTGTGTCATTTTTAAATTTTCTTTGAGATTAATTACCCAGTAAGATCATTTATTAACATCTGTATTACTACACTATAAACACTGTGAGGGTCCAAACCCACTTCATTAGACAATTCATTGACTTTTCAATACATAGTGTGGTGCCCAGATTACAATAAACTCTAAATAAGTATTTTTTGGAAGAAGGACAGAAGGAAGGAAAAAAGAAAGGAAGGGAGGAAGTTAAGGGAACAAGCAACATTTAAAGTTCTGTAAAGCAAAGAAAAACTGAGAGTTCAACCCACATTTTCTTTCTCTTTTACACACAGGACAAAGAAAAAAATTAAGTAGTAAAAAAATACTGTTTCAAAAATATATCATGTTTAGTCAATGTTAGCCTCCAAGGTAAATGTTACATAATCATTGAAAAAAATTATAGAACATTTTGAAGAATGTTATAGTGAATAATAAATTAAGAGTTAATATTTTGTAGCATTGAAAATACTTCCATTTTTATCAACCCACATTTATCTTGGGTCTTCAGTTTCATTCCTGTGTGTGTGTTGTATTATGTGCACATCACCAGTGGTATAAACAATATGTCCATGCTGAGTAACTATGCATATCTAACACTAGCAGGGTACTTAACACCAAATTAATTTCCTGTCAAAGCCACTACATCTGTGTTTCAATTACTAAAATTCTAAATTTAGTGGAAAATATAAGTATGCTTTCTTATTATCACTGCATTAGTATTTCCAGGGCAAGCAAGAACAACAACTAAAGTGGTTCTTAGGGAAATGGTATTTCAGTGTGAATTTATGCTTACCAACCATAAGTGTCTTGTTCAGATGTCATTTATGTGATTGGCTCTATTTTGGGGACAAACATTTAAGATGTGAATTTCCCCTTCAAGAACAAATACACAGCAATAATTTTTACTTGGAATGGGTCCTTTTGTCTTTACTGAGACTATGGATTTCTTAGGATTTAATATTCAGGTATTTTAAGAAATATACTCTCTTCATAAGCATGCTCATCTGAAATATGTTTGAATCAGCATGGTTTTGGTTAACACTGTTGGTCTCCTGGGGCTTTCCAAGATCCTTTACTACTCATCTTTCTGCACATTAAAAATGTGCCTCCCACCTAAATGCAGCCTAATGAGCTAAGGTCTCAGATGCTTCCTTTTTAACAATGCCCTCTGTTTTCCATCCAGTACGTAATTTATGTATTGAGTTCCAGAAAGACTTTCACCAGGACTGATGACAAGGGTGCTTATAAGTCCGTTTCCCTCTGAACTCTGCAGCCAGTGATTTCAGTCTTATTAAGGGTTAAGGAATTTCCTAATGATTTTAAAATGTGAGGCTACTCATATACGTAAATACAAGAATTTGGGACGCTTACATTGTTTAGAGGTTCCTTTTTATTAAGAAGCATATTGCTTTTGGACTCTTATCATTGCGGAAGGCAGAATGATATTTTGGGAGGTTATATACTTCTCATTGTTTCTATCTTGCGTTTTTAAAAACGCCTCCCCTCTGCTTCAGAAGGTTTAGCTACTACTGTATCTTGGAGAAGATAACAGCAACCTTGGGTGCCTTTTGCTAAACACACATACCTGGC